TTTTTTTAATACACTTTAAGTGCAATTCCTTTTCTAAAATCTTATTGGTAACTTTGCTTTTAAATATTTATATATTTTTGTATATCTTATCTGAAACATGGTATAACACAGTGGTTCTCAAAGTGTGGGGCGCGCCCCCCCCTGGGGGGCGCAGAGGCATGCCAGGGGGGGCGTGAAAGACCAGGAGGAAAAATGGTTATATAAAAAAAAAAAAAGATTAAAAAAAAAAAAAAAATCATAATTTGAAAAATTATTGATTCGAAAATAATATGATACAGTACAGTACTATTACGTCTGGGTCTCTGTGTGTGTGGAACGAGCCATTTTGTGTGTGCGCGAGAGAGAGAGAGCGCACCGGTACCGGAGATCGTTGTTCTTAGCTTCTGGTGCTAGCGAGCTACGCTAACGGATATAAGGAGTTTTTTCAACAACAAAGTGGAGGAGTGTCCTCTCCTGTCAGACTGAGAGACTCAGTGAGCTAAAGGACTCTGTCAGTGTTATCTCAGTGGGTCTCAAACGTTTTGGTCACCATTAATGTAAACAATTATTTCCGAGGCACACGTTTATATGATCATTATAGTTATAAAAACATAAGAGAATAAATTAAAAACAGGTATGAAATACTATATGACAGTAAAAAAAGAATAAAGTTTAAAAGGGTGATTTGTAAAATATCTATAAAGAAAAAGTAAATCTGTTTACAGTTCCGTTTCATCTGGGTGTTGAGAGGTATCCATAGATCTCTTCATTTTGCTCTCAATGTGTCCACACACCACCTATAAAAATAGCACTTGACCCCTGCTTACACCTATATGCCGTGAGCTGATTATCGAGCCTTCGTTGTAACAGTTGCGGGAACACTCTGTATGTGTGTGGAGAGTGTTGCAGTAGAAAATTCAACTGTAGCGCCCGGTACATTAATGGGAAACCCTAAATGTTTGAGCACCCTCTATGAAACGTCAAGCTACCACACAGCACCCCCAAAAGAAGTCTCTGGCGCCGCCACTGAGCCTGACTATTTGTGTTGGGGGGGCCCGACTTTTTTTTTTTCTCCAAAGGGGGGGCCTGACAGAAAAAGTTTGAGAACCACTGGTATAACAGAACATTGTTTTGTTTGGCCTTTAAAAATCTGAAGATGAGTGTGTGTTCAAGTCCTTTTTTACAGTTTACCGTCCTTAAACTATTTGACTTACAACACAAATTGAGCATATAATATGTTAGAGGTTGAGTTGTTAATAATAACTTACGTTGTTTGAAGACACAATCACAATTCTATTTGTTTCCTGTGTTCCTCTTTTACCCCCCTCACTCCCACAGGTTTGACACGTATCGCAGTAAGGATGAGAGTCGGCGCCTTGCTAAGTATGTGGATGGTGTGGGGGCGGGGCTTATTCTGGCGTTGATGGTCAATGATGAGGGTTCCAACAACTTGGAGGACTCGGCCAAGAAGATCCTCTTCAGGCTGGGCAGCCAGCACATCAACACTCTGGGATTTCGGTGAGCTTTTCAAATATTAATTTTGAATTTTAGGACTTTAGCTTCTGGAGTATTGGGATGGAAATTGTTAAGGTTTTCTAAAATAAAGACAAAGGTAATGTTCACAGATAAAATATAGATTATTCGCGATGACAAATGTTATCATTATTTGCTGAACATGACTATGAGCTCAACATCTCTGCTTGTCATTCTTATTCAGCTCACAACATGTCAGGAAAGAAAATGGCCCTTTGTTAAAAGCTCCCAGCACTATGTCTTCTGAAGCATTATTTTATTGATTGCTGAGAATTAATGAGAAAATGTTACAACCTCCGGTGAGTCACAGTTTCTTTTTCTAATTAATCCCTGAAGCTTTCGGTACTTCATGGTTTTAAATTCACTATCTCAAATCTTCATCTCCTGAATTCCATAAAACAGCTCTAGCATTAGTTTTACCTTAAAATGTGTACATTTAGTGTGATAATTATACAGGAGGCGTGTGGCGCAGTTGGTTAGTGCGTTGGTGTTCGGATAAGTGGATCACAGGTTCAAACCCCACTGCAGTCAGCATGTCGTTGTGTCCCTGAGACACTTCACCCCAAAGTGCTCCTGTGGGGATTGTCCACAGTACTAAGTATGTAAGTCGCTTTGGATAAAAGCGTCTAACAAGTGACATGTAATGTAATACAGTAATTGAGGTCGCAGTTAAAGGTGGTGTCGCACTGGACTCTGTTATTTATATATATCATTTAATATTTCCTATTTGTATACATGAAGGGACCAGACAATTAGAAACACCTCTCAATATAATGTAGTCCAATACAATGCCATCACTCAAGTAATCTACTGTAGGGTATTTTAATATTAAAGAGTCCCGATCATGCTTTATGGGGTGTTCCCTTTCCTGTAATGTGTTCTATAGGTTTTTGTGCATGTACATGGTCTGGGGAGAGTTTCTCTCCCACACTTTTTTAAAGTCTTGCAAGTAGAATTAGTGTAACTGCTGCCAGATAACAGTAGTGAAAGTAAAAGTGTATATTGCACAGTTATTACAGATTGTTGTACAGTAACATAGAGACAGTAACAGAACATAGTGACATAACTATGTCACAATGGTGTGTCTATTGACTAGCGCCCCAACACATTGTACATGATAGGCTAAGGGGGCGGGACATCTCTAAGTGGTTGACCAATCACAACAGAGCTGACCAGCTAACCAACCAGAGCAGACTGGGCTCTGGTTTCAGACAGAGGGTGAAAAGAGGTGCTGCAGCACAGGCAGTATGAGAACACATGTATTTGTTTAATTAACACACAACCAAAACATTTGTATTTTATCCGCCTGGGAAACTGTGTGTGTTTGTGTGTGTGTTGGTATGCTAGCAATACAAAGGGAAATGGAAACTGAATCATGCCGTGATAACAAAGCCCTGGAGATGTCTCACATACAGTACGCGTTAAGGATACAAATGTGCAGACTTGTACGCTGACACATTCCTCAAAAAAGACTTGACTGTGCCCTCGTGTTTTTTTTGTAATAAAGTGGTTGGATATACATCTTTGAATAGTCAACCACAAGGTTGCGTGCATCAGTTTTCTTTGCACAGTGAACCACAAGGACAGCGCCTTTGTTGTGGGTGAAGCTGGTGAATCTTAGCAATGTGTTAGCCTCCCAGCATTATTATGAAACGTGATGCTGCCGAAGAGACCACAGGGTTGAAGACAGAGCGCGAGTTAACATAAAGATTCCCTGTTTGAACTCCGTGGCTGTAGATGCTGCGGAGGACAGAGTAGAGGGAGGGGGGGGATGCTGAGGAGACACAGGGATTCCTGCCTAATGACTCCTGTCGCCTGCTCCTCACACTGCTGCCAAACAGGCCAGCACTGGTGTCATCATCAGAGAGAGGCTGTGTAATTTGCGGTGCACCCAGAGACATTTGAATAAGCTGGAATTTATGAGGCAGTGCAATACATTCTGAGTGATGTGATTCACATTTGTTTACTGTAGCTTCTGCACTGGTGGCAGCACACAGCATTACAGCAACACAAGAACATGAGGTTGAAAGTTGTAGGATGTTATTTTGGTACCAGCCAAACTTTGTTGGTGTCAGATAAGTTGGATGTTGGAATTCTGCTTTACTTATTTATAATATTGCAAATTAAATATAATAGAAACATAGAAAAATCCTGTTTTAATAGTGTAAACAGCACCCTACTGACTCACTGTACAACTAGGCAGTAGCAAATTAACAATTCACAAGGTCTACTACAATATATAATATTATTCATCTCTCCTCTCTTCCTTCATTTACAGGCATCCTTGGACCTTTATAGTTACAAAAGGAGACCCTTCTTCTGTTGTCGAGGGTCACGCTTCCTATCAAGGTAAGAATACATTTTTAATGTATTGCTACTTACCTGATGTATCTAAAACTGCAAAAAAGGAAGCGTGTTCTAAGTGATGTCCTTGTGTGTGTGTGTGTGTGTGTGTGTGTGTGTGTGTGTGTGTGTTGTGTGTGTGTGTGTGTGTGTGTGTGTGTGTGTGTGTGTGTGTGTCTGTGTGTGTGTGTGTGTGTGTGTGTGTGTGTGTGTGTGTGTGTGTGTGTGTGTGTGTGTGTGTGTGTGTGTGTGTGTGTGTGTGTGGTGTGTGTGTGTGTGTGTGTGATCAGGAACTAAGGCCTCCTCAGAGGCTCAGAGCGCTCATGTATTTAAGTCGAGTTATGGGGAGCAGTTTACTATTACCACCAGAAGCCAGTGGGTGCAAGGTAAGTCTACGCACGCACGCACACACACACACACACACACACACACACACACACTCCAGGTGTCCTCCAATCAGTGAAATGTGTGAGTTTGTCTCTCAGGGCCACAGTCAGTATGTCACATGCACCACAAAACAGAAACATGTGCTGATGTGCACCCAGGAGTGATACTGTTCATTGTCTTTTGCAGGGTTGGGATGGTTACCTGTGAAAATTGCAATCAATTACCTAATCTGAGTATCAAAATATGAAAGTAATGTAACTTGATTACTTTCCGTTAAATTTGGATTACCTCAATATCAAATGCGATGCAAATCAATAAAAGTGTATTATCAATCAATCAATCAATCAATCAATGTTTATTTATATAGCCCAATATCAAAAATGTTACATTTGTCTCAGTGGACTTCATAGTTTGTACAGAATATCAGTATGACAATACGACACCCTCTGTCCTTAGACCCTCTGTCCTCAGACCCTCTGTCCTTAGACCCTCACATCGTACAAGGAAAAACTTCCAGAGAAAACCCACAGTTTAAAGGGAACATGGGAGAAACCTCAGGGAGAGCAACAGAGGAGGGATCCCTCTCCCAGGACGGACAGACGTGCAATAGATGCCGTGTGTAAATTGAAAAGATAATACATTTGCAACATAGGTAGTCCAAATGTTTGGAAATGCATGTGTGTATAATAGGAAGATGGATCCATGAGGATATCCATCCAGGACCTATGATCCAGGACCACAGCAACAGGCACAGCCACGACTCGAGTTCCAGGGCTTGCGATCCAGGACTCAGGACCACAGCAATCAGCCATGACTCCGGATCCCGGCGTATATAATAAAAAATAAATAATAAAAAATGTAATGCATTATTATTATTATTATTATATAGACACCAAAAAGAAAGACATTTGGGGAAGCTGGGTTAATCGGAACATGAGAGTACACAGGTATAGACAGAGAGAAGGAAGAAGTAAGATGTCCCCCGACAAACTAAGCCTATATCAGCAAAACTAGGGGCTGGATCTAATCAGCCCTAACTATAAGCTTTATCAAAAAGGAAGGTCTTAAGCGCACTCTTAAAAACGGATAGGGTGTCTGCCGCCCGAACACAAACTGGAAGCTGATTCCACAAATGTGGAGCTTGATAAGAAAAGGCTCTGGCTCCCATTGTACTTTTAGAGACTCTAGGAACAACCAACAACCCTGCATTCTTGGAACGCAATGCCCTAGTAGGACAGTAGGGTATAATGAGTTCTTTAAGGTAAGATGGGGCCTGCCCATTAAGGGCTTTGTAGGCGAGAAGAAGAATTTTAAATTCTATCCTGTGTTCTATAGGGAGCCAGTGTAAGGCAGCCAGAACAGGAGTAATGTGGTCCCTTTTCCTAACTCTGGTTAGTACACGAGCTGCAGCATTTTGAATCAGCTGAAGTGACTTGACTGACTTCTTGGTACACCCTGATAATAAAGAGTTACAATAATCCAGCCTTGAAGTAACAAATGCATGGACTAGTTTCTCTGCATCGTTATGAGGCAAGATATGCCTGATTTTTGCAATGTTACGTAGATGGAAGTAGGCGGTCCTTGAAATTGATTTTATGTGGGCGTTAAAGGATAAATCCTGATCAAATATAACTCCAAGATTCCTTACAGTCTCACTGGAGGCCAAATTAATGCCATCCATAGTTAGTATATCTTTAGACAGTTTGTTTTGTAGATTCTTCGGGCCGAGTACAATAACTTCAGTTTTGGTCGTGTTTAACATCAAAAAGTTTAAGGTCATCCACGTTTTGAAGTCCTTAAGGCAGTCTTGAATTTTATTTAGATAATTAATTTCATCAGGCTTGATTGATAAATATAGTTGAGTATCATCCGCATAACAGTGGAAATATACAGAATGATTCCTTATAATATTGCCTAACGGAAGCATATATAATGTGAACAAAATAGGTCCGAGCACTGAGCCCTGTGGCACTCCATGGCTAACTTTGGTTTGCGTGGAAGATTCATCGTTGACACGTACAAACTGAGAGCGTTCAGATAGATAGGACCTAAACCAGTCCCTTGTCTGAGGATTATGTAAAACAACAGAACAATGTGACCTTAAAAAAAAAAGATATTTAGTATCAAAAATACGCTAGGCCTACAGAATAATAAGGTTAACAAATGCTGTTTTAGTTTAGTACATGAATTAAAAGCAACAAAATAAATAATGGTTAATAAAGCAGGTGTCGACCTACCGGTTCAAATTCAAAAATATATATGTTTAAATAAAAACAGACTGAAAACAGCCTGTAAATTAAAACTCTTCTCAAAAATTATTGGGGCAGTGAATGTCTAACTATAATAATAATAATATTGATCTTTATTTCCAATTGTGTTGTATTTCAAAACATTGTAGGCTTATACTAGAAATCCCCATTTTATAAAGAAATTACCAGTAATCTGATTACGCATTTAATTTACGTAACTGTATCGTGATCCCATTACCTGTAATCCATTACTCCCCCAGTCATTTGTTGTAGTGTGTGGTGGATGTGTCTCATAACATATGCCCCATGGGAGGATCACACAAATAATAATCAATCATCTGTATCTTCCTTTCAGAGATGGGGATTCAAATGCAGAATCTAAATAACCTCCACACAGACTCAGGAACATTAAACCCTTGTTCCATCATCTCACTGGGGCTCTATAAATTCTCACTGAGCAGTAGTTGATCACATTTGGTGATATCATCGGCAAATCGTTTTCGCATCAATACGTCTACCTCACACCCCACTATGCTGTTATTGACCCCTCCTTTACCAGCGGCTCAAAGCTGATTCCAATTAGATTCTTCTCATCTCCCATCAGATAGCAGAGATTTCATTAAACTGCCAGTATCTAAATATGGGCACGTATGGAGATGTAGACATAGTGTGTGTGTGTGTGTGTGTGTGTGTGTGTGTGTGTGTGTGTGTGTGTGTGTGTGTGTGTGTGTGTGTGTGTGTGTGTGTGTGTGTGTGTGTGTGTGTGTGTGAGAACATCAGATTGAAATTCTAGCCAGTCAAATGTGCATTCCCGGTGTGGCAGCAGACAGAGAGCATGATGGGAGGAGAAAGCCGTTCAATTACTGTGCTACAAATGCTCTCTGACAGCTACAATGGACTACAAGTCAGAGCCTCCACTCACATTAGTCTAATATGTTCCACTTCACTCTCTGACCACTGAAGTGGCAGCAGTGGTGGACTGTTACAAAGTACATTAACTCAAGTACTGCACTTGAACCATTTTAGGTACATGTACTTTACCTATTTTTATCTCATGCTACTTCATACTTTTACTCCATTACAATACTCCAATTTCTTTGTTTTACCTCACTTTAGTTATAGCTACTTTGCAGATCTATAATTATCCTGATTTAAAAATATAAATCAACAAATCAATTAATATGTGTAATGAGGGGTTAAAGGTGGGGTAGGTAATTTTGGAGAAACCAGCTCGAGTGCGCTAGAATTTGAAAATACACAACCGGAAAAAATCTGCCACTTCCTTACAGAGCCCCTCCTCCAGCACACACGAACGCGCACATGAACAATGAGGGCACAAGATGAGTTTGTGCACAGATGGAAGGCTGACAGGCAGGTAGGCCATCCAGTTACTTTAGCCGGGCCGGCTCAGATGATTGGTCGTGCTTTTTACAGTACTACGGCTTCCACATATTCCACAAAGGACTTAATATATTCATTGCTATCGGGATGTTAAGAGCATTCCATGGAATATAACACAAAGTGTATCTCGAGCCGGTTTCTCAAACTTACCTACCCCACCTTTAAGGTACCCAGCATTATTACAAGTCACTTAAATAAAGGCCCCATTTATCAAGTGCGGCATCAACATTAAAGAATCAATATTTTGAATGTAATAATTTAATATGTACGATTTTGAAAAGGGCCATACTGCATAATCAATTTGTGCTTAAAATATTTGTGATGCCAACACTGTTTCTGAAGAATTCAGGACATTTACTTGTATCATAGTATTTTATTACTCTAATGTTACATTGTGTGTTTGTTTGCCTGTGTGCGTGTGTGTGTGTGTGTGTGTGTGTGTGTGTGTGTGTGTGTGTGTGTGTGTGTGTGTGTGTGTGTGTGTGTGTGTGTGTGTGTGTGTGTGTGTGTGTGTGTGTGTGTGTGTGTGTGTGTGTGTGTGTGTGTGTGCATGTGCGTCTGTCACAGAGGCAGAGTGGACAGAGTGGTTTGACAGGGACGATGAGAGGGGATCTGGAGACTGGGAGAAAGTGTCCGACCTGCACGAGGCTTACCCAGACAAACTGTGCAGCAATCCTCTCGACATCCAGGTACATCTCTTACTACAAGTACATATACATGTGTGTGTAACATTTTAAAATCAACTGACTGTGGACCCTGCCTGCTCATATATTTGGGCCTGTTGGTAGTCTTAGCAAGAATGAGGTTCTAACCCTGACATTGACAAGGTAAAAAGATTGTTCAGCTGCAATAGAGGTCTGCAAAAGAATGTCTGTCACAAGCTGAAGAGGTTTTCACGTACTTCAGTTATTACCCTACTGGTGTCTGTCTGAAACTTCTACATGTCATAAAAACAGTGATTGCTAAAGGAGACTACTAGACGTCCTCACGCTGAACATTAGCTGCCTTTAGCTTAGCGGTGGTGCACAGCAGCGCAGCTGTGATGTCGTTCCTTCATAGCCTGACGTTAGCTTTTTAATCCTGGCGATTCAACTGTTAAAGAAAACGTGTTGAGTACGATAAAGGTATGTTTGCCACAAAGCTTATTTTCTGCAATAAACCGAGATCCAATGGGGAAATACCATCGCTTTTTGTCGGGGGACCTATTGCAATGCTAACATAATTATATATGCAGCCACTAAGGTAATAAGGTCTGCTATAAAGCAGGGACAAAGGGACAAAGTCATTGTTTTATAAGGACCATGTAAATCTGAGCTGACAGGAAATGCTCCGTTTTAGTTTAATACACACAATTAAGCTCACACACTATTTTATAAACATATAGGTTCACCTGCTGAATTAACAGAACAAATGAAGCAAAGAAAGAGTGTGTGGGAGAGAACACTCCCTCTGGATGGAACACAGGGATTTCAGCCTTTGCAGACCATTTATATGCTTAAACACCGAACACACTACAGGAGAGGGAAATCCCCAAAAGCACAATAGGGCCTCTTTAACTTGCTACGCCGAGGTAACAACAAGTGTGGTTTGACCTACGGCAAACACTGTACTTACTTATATATAATAAGTGGTGTATCTCATCCGTGTAGCAACAAGAAGCTCCAGCTCCTCCTGAGTCCGGTTCAGTTGGGTATAGGTCTGTCCATCTGGTCAGCTGACCATCAGAGCCAGCCGCCATCCCTGTGCTGTTGGACACCATGGCAGGGTCCAGACCCAGGCTGGCACCATGGAGCAGCTGGCAGCCTGCATGGAGATAAGCAGTTGGGCCAGGTCTGCCCACACAGCCCCCCATCCCACACCATACCTCCAGGAAACTGTGCTGAGCTCCAGCTGCTGCTGCTGCTTATGGCTGTGCAACAGTATAATAATACAAATGTATAATCCTCCCTATTCATTTACATGGGTGTGGCAGACATCACTTGTGTAATTTACTGTAATATATTTATTTAAATGTTATATTTAATTTTGAGTTATTTAGACACAATTAACCCTTAGCCTATAGTTTCATGTCTTGTACATAAGAATAGATCATATTTGTTAAGTGATCTTCCTTGAAAAAGAGATCAATGATCTCAATGGGATTTATCTGTATAAATAAAGGTTTGAAATGAAGTGTTATTATGGGAGAATTATTATTCTTGTGGCCTTATTAGGCCCATATTGAGCAGCACATATTGAGACCAAAACTCATGTACAACAACTTACTTACTTGCAATAAATAAGCACTAATTAGAGGGTTATTGGGTTCCACTGAAGGTCACACAAGTTCAACAGATCACAGTATTCCTCTTTGTATCAGTATTGTATTGACAGTAGGTCATATGACTGGCAGTACACACTTTCATGACGATTGCATGATATAGCCCAGCGCAACACCTTCATCACACATGTTGCCACTTGTTTGTACCATTTTCAGGCGATTTGTAATCTGTTCTAGAAAAACGATGCGATTTTGAATATTTGTGGAGTTAGGTGATCCTTGGTGTGAAAAAGTTTGAGAAACACTGGTCTACATCAAGGAATGTGTTGCTTAAAGAGCAACTTGCAGGTTTTTTTTTTTACTAGATTTATGCTTAACCTTGCATGAAAATTACAATTTAAAAAGTTAATGCAGGATTATATATGTTTTACGAGACATAAGGGCATGAATTCAGAGGGAAAGGAGCCGTTTTGAGCTCTGCTACTAAAAACTCATACGTCAAACGCGTCATATTACGTCACATATTACGTTGGTTTGAGCGGTTGTGATTTAGTGAGCTGGTAATTTTTCGTTAATTTTACATTGCATTTCACCATTTGTAATCATGGTGAGCTGGAGTTTGTGCAGGTTGCACAAACTCCAGCCTGTCAGGACATCGAGTCCACAGTTTCCCTAACAGGAAAAGGACTGGAGCTAGCTTTCGTTCCTGGGTGCGTTGTGCATCCACCTCCCTGCAGCACATACTCTCCACAGCTGAGGCCTATCAAACAAAACGTTTATCAGGAAACCATATTACATCTCTCTCCCCCCTTCGCTCCTCTCTCTCCCGGAGGGAGCTGTGGTGTGAGTAGAACCAGTGGAGAACAGGGCAGCTGTCCTGGTGAGTGACCGGCGTTAGCTACAGTTAATGTTAGCTAACGTCAGTCACATCACATCACTGTTGATACTGATCCATAACAGAAACTAATGCGCAAGTATCAGCCGTATCTCGCGTTACCTAATGCAACTCCACACTACGTCTTATGGAGCTGTGTAACGGAGGGGAGAGAGAGAGGAGGGAAGGGGGGTTCGCTCCTCTCCCCATCAGATACGGCTGATACTTGCGCATTAGTTTCTGTTATGGATCAGTAGTATCAACAGTCCTGCCAGTAACGTTACTATATTATCAATACTACTTTAGTTATAGCCTGATATATGATAGCGAACTTTACAATGTTGTGATGTGACTGACGTTAGCTAACATTAACTGTAGCTAACACCGGTCACTCACCAAGACAGCTGCCCTGTTCTCCACTGATTCTCCTCACACCACAGCTCCATTTCTCTCCGATAGCCGTTATTTCTTCTAATCCTTGGCTGCTCCTGGTCTCTTGGACGCCTCGCAGGCTCATAATTATAATCATATGCATTTGAATATATATTTTCAACCTCTTCTGTGTCAAAACTAGCATTGTGATCCATGTTTATTCATACGTTAGACCGGCCGCTCTCCCCCATGTTACGTCACACGCGGGAGGTCACGTGGGGAGGCTTTTTTTACGCGGAAGTAAAAATGTCTTACAAAAACGACGCCAGATGTCACTGTAGTGTATATTTCTGTATATCTTTTTGAAATCTAGTGTATACATCATTTTCCTACACATTTATTCACTGGTGTCTCTAACCTGCAAGTTGCTCTTTAACAATATTTTGTATAGTGCCATGCTGTATTTTGTAACATATCCATGTATGTACAGTAACACATGGATGACATTATGCTGGGTTGCAATGAGGCCACAGTTTTCCTGTAAAAGAGCAATTTTGAATTGGAATGTAAATTCACTAGTGGGAAAATGTTGTGCAAATTGGATTGGATATAGGACACTCATCCACAAAATTATACAATTTTATGACAACAGGCCAGGTGTTGATAGACAACGTTGGGCTTGCTAGCTAATTTGACATATACAGTAGCAATCATGCCATGCTGTGCTCTACACAAATGTTGGCTCCAGAACAAAGGAGCCGAGGAAAAACACAGTGTGTTCAGCACCGGCTCTATGCACAAGACAAGAGCAAGCAGGCCATTAGCCAGCACCATACAAACCATTTCCACTGTGACTCACAGGCCAACAAAAACAAGCAAAAACCATCCAGACGTAACAGAAACACCACAGCATTCAACCTCAATTCACAAGATAAGGGTGCCAACATTGAGCAGGTTTTTATAAGCACTATACTGCCATAAGCCTTTTTTCATGTATTTTTGGATTAATTTAACAAAATGTATCTTTAATTTTATATTCAAGGAACTGACCATTTTTTGGTCTTAATATTAACAATTGTACCATCCATCTTCAAATAGTGTTAAATGATATGCTATGTAAAAACAGGAAACATATATCACAATACATACTAACACATCACAAATTACAAAAAAGTTGGCCATTAAATCCCAGTACCTTGTAAGTAGTTTGAAATAAAGACCAAATGTGAGTGAGGGCCAACTGTGCGGAAATGGCTGGGCTTTGTGTTGCAATGTTGCAGAACTTCTGCGTGCAGGATTGAAAGTGATTCTTGTGTCCAGACATATGGATCGTGATCCCTAACCTTCAGTGCTCGTCTTTGTGAAACTCCTGCTGTTGCCCAACAAATAAGCCTTACACTAGACAAATACCAGATGTCTGAAAAAAGATTTGTCCTGAAGCCAAGTGGCCAGACATCTCTCTGTCCCACCCTAGAGCTATAGACAAGTTTATTTCCCAACATTCTGAGCTGTTCCTGTCATCTTAAGGAACACCTTCACTTACAATACCATTAGTGTGTCACATCATCTATTCTATTGTTTCGTGCCAGAAGTATCTATATTAATCTTTGGTTCATCTTTACTTTGTCCAGGCTGAGACCCATGATGGCATAGCGGCCAACCAAACGGGAGATGTGATCCACAAGAATGATAAGGACTACGGCTTCGTCTGCCTCAACAAGGACCAGACTCATGGCCTCTGTCGCAACTACAGAGTCCGCTTCCTCTGTGGAAAACTGGGTACATTCATGACTTACTGTCTGTGTGTGTGTATGAGTACAGTTTGTGTCTGCATGAGCTTTTACACACATTTCCTGTCTTTTCACCATAAATCTGGACCCAGCTCTCCTCCTTCGTCTCTTTGGTTTACCCAGCATCCTCTGTGTCCTTCTCCAGATTTCAGTGGGAATAGTCGTTGTACAGACTGCCATGCTAGCAGGCTTTAGCATGATTAGCTGTCCCTGGTGTAAACATGGCAGCGAGTGGCGTGAATGCACAACAATGGCATGAAAGTTTAATAAGTTACTAATATAACTTATTAATAGAAAAATAACTAATTATAATTAAGTAACCTAAAAGGAGAAAGTTCAAAGTTTAAAATAGTACAAATCTAGCAAGAACCACTGCAACAAGCTACATTCATGGTTGGCGGGTGCACACTTTTTTTTAAAGAGAGCTTAAGCTGATCGACGTTTTATTAATATACAGACATGAGCCCTCCAGAGAGTGTGTGGAGGCTGCTCTGGTTGCCACACAGCCTGATCAGAGTTCACAGGCACCGCTCCAAACCAACTGAGAGACCCGGCCTCTGTATGGGTCAGATGCTTGTGTGTGTATGTGTGTGTTATGTGGAGAGTGCTGTGATCGTTCATGTCAATGAGTACAACACATTCATCACTCCATAATAACCCTGCACCACTACAGATGGACCAGATGACAACTCCCCAAAAGAGAAGCCACAAATATCTCTGACGCCCCCTGGATCAGACCGGGGAATTGAATGAGTCACCTACTACTTCTAGGAAAAACATTGTTTGATTTTATACAGTTGTTTCTCGAAAGTCTATCAAGATATCTTTGGCGATCTTGTTTTTTCCATCTGTATAGTCCAACCCAGTCTCACGGCATTTTGTGTTATAGTCACGACATTTAATCTATTGATTCGTGTTCACCAACACCATTTCCCCCTTTTTTTCGTGTCACAAAGAACGATTTTAAAAGCAATGTACTTCTATTGGTAGTATGTTTTGTGCCTGCAGCATGTCTTTTTGTCCCTTCGGGTCTTGGAAGACTCGACCGAACTGTGGTTCATAAAAACATGTTCTTACTCAATATCAAGCCACGATTATTGTTTTTATTTTAAATCGTATAATGTCTGACTTTTTTTGCCGTCCGTGAGGAAAATAAATGGGGCTCAGAGCCTCAGAATACTGAAATCTGTATTTTTTAAATATATTTTTCCTTCTAATTTGTTATTATTTTCTAAATAACACACTGTTATTTACTCAACAATAACACACAATTATCCTTGTTTTTATTTATTGGTTTAATTCTATAATATCGGGCTTTTTTGCCGTCCGTCAGGAACTGAATTTCAAAATAAAGTCACCGGAAACAGACGTAGGCGATACACACCACACACCCACTGAACTGATTACCCAAGATCCTCAGCACTGGTTGAAGCTCGGTGATTGGATGTTTTAGCCGCAATGCACGTTGGGATATGGTGTTAATGCAATATGAAATAACTATCAACAGAATTGCGGTGCCAGGCAACAGCTTGGGGTGAAAACAGTATTTCGGGTCTCGAAGTTTGCATAGTATTGCAGTTTATCCTTGTTAATTACACAACATTGATTGTTTAAATTGTGTAAAATGCTTTTGTGTTTTCCCCCTTCGATTCGGAGAATGAGTTTAGGATGGCCGAAGACACTATATGAAATAACTATCAACAGAATCCCAAACGATAGCTGAGGATTATGGGTACATAATCCTCAGCTATCGTTTGGGACCACAGTCCCTTTGCTTGACAAACCCTGTGATTAATCTTCAAGCTCTGTGATTGGATGTTGGAGTGGCAATGCACCAAGGTTACGCCGAGCGTCAAACAGCTCTATGAAATGGAATGAAACCACGGCAGACTAACCAAAACTGGACTCAAACGGGTCCAGCTCCGCCCCCCCCCCCCCCCCCCCCCCCCACATAACTACACATGCTGGCTATTGTGTTTCGCAACATGTTCTATGGCACGTCTCTACTGGGAATTTTAGTTTTAAAAGACGTTTTCGTGTTTCCCACAATTAGAAGTTGCCAGTATTAAACTGTACATCCCTGGAGGTTTAGGGGATAAGAAACACATTGGTGTGTTCAAATTTGAAACATATAATTAATAAATGGGTGAAAATTGCCATTAATATACCCACATGACAGCTCATTGTTACTTTGTAATTCTAATCCACTACAATTCAGAGGTTAACTTGGTATTTTTACTCCACTAAATTTATTTTAATTACTTTACAGATTCTGATGAATGATATGAAATATAAACAACCCTTAAATCAGACTTTAATTACACCTGAGTACAATTCAGGGAGAGATATTTGATAGTTGGTGCTTGAGAAGACTAAACATTTATCTGCAGATTCCTATAAAGTATATTCATTACTCGTTATTCTCTACTAATAGTTAATAGTTAAAAACTGTATATAATGGCTATTTTGCACATCCCTTTCAAGATTTCAAGATTTTCTAAGGTTTATTGACATATCATATAGGCCTACACAACTACGGTGTAGTTATGCAATGAATGAAAAACTTGGGTCACAGGTTCCTCAACAGTGCATTACAAGACATCTATCAATATGTGTGTATACCTCCACCATTAAACTGTCCTATTCTGCATATTTCTTATACTATCTACATACATCTTATAAGAGTATAATACATATGTATAATATCAGTTAAAATAAGTGCTTCAACATAGTTAACTTTGCAGGAAAGCAATATATTAGACTTTAAGTACTTTGTCAGGCTTAATATTTATCTGTAGATAGATACCCCCAAAGAAGAAGAAGAAGAAGACCTTAACCTAAAGTATTATTTAATGTTTAAATAAAGGTTAATTCGTTTTTCTGTTTTGCACATCCTCCTATTAATATCTTTGAACATTCTGCACTAAACTGTTTTATTGTAGAGATCACTTACAGTATCTTCTTGATATTTTATATTCTATATTTCTATCATTGACCTTCTACTTTCCCCCTATTTTGTATTTACTCTTAATATTTTTTCATCAAATATAACTTATTCAACAAAAAAATGCAATAACGTGCTTTCACCAATATGCGGTGCGGGTTAAAAAACGGTCAAGTTTAAAATGTTAACACAACAAATTATACTTTTTATTATTAGTGTAGGACACTTATGTATAACATCTGAAGATGTGTAGTTTTATTCATGTTTTCACATAATGTTACAGGATATTGCTATATTATTTGACATGTTTTACTTTACACATTAATATCTGATTTGTAAAACATCATAGACAGAAAGGTATATCCATCATTTAATGGTAAGCTATTGCAATTCTGATTCCATAAATGTGTCTCCCATCACCCACAACCCCTGACTATTCTCTCAACTCAGTATTTACATTCTTATATTCAAAGAAAATCAGTAATATCTTAATACTTATATCTTAATATCAGCTGTGCACCGCTACCTATCTACCAATTGGATCAAATATAAAAGTCAGCCGAATTAGTGTTGATACTGCAAGGAGACGTATTGTGTGAAGAGAAATTGAAGATGTTGTTTAATTGCTGATATAGTTATGATCCACGTCACATATTCAGTTTCGGTGGAATTTTGAAATTCAGTTCCTGACTGACGGCAAAAAAGCCCAATATTATAGAATCAAACAAATAAATAAAAACAAGGATAATTGTGTGTTATTGTTGAGTAAATAACAGTCTCCTCCCTCCTGGACCCCCCCAAAGCCCCTTCCCCCTCCTCCCTTCTGTCAAGCGACTTTGTTAACCACTTTGAAAAAAAAGTTGATATTCGCTCTTCTTTTTCTGACTCACCTTTACTCACCGCTGGGTCACCAGACCTTCCTTTCACCCACACACTGACCTCATTTTCCCCTCTCTCTCCAATTGAGGTTCTTACCCTCATTACCTCTGCCCGCCCTACCACCTGTCCTCTGGACCCTATCCCTTCAAACCTCCTTCAGACTATCGCTCCTGATAACCTACCGTTTCTCTCCCATTTCATCAACACTTCTCTAACTTCTGGTCACTTTCCAAACAGTCTCAAGGAGGCAAGAGTAAACCCTCTCCTAAAGAAACCCACTCTCAACCCGTCTGATGTTATAAACTACAGGCCTGTCTCTCTCCTCCCGTTCCTGTCTAAAACACTTGAATGCGCTGTCTTTAGACAACTCTCCTGCTATCTCCATCAGAACAACCTTCTGGATCTGCACCAGTCTGGTTTCAAGGCAGGTCACTCCACAGAAACTGCCCTCCTTGCTGTCACTGAGGAACTGCACACTGCTAAAGCAGCCTCCCTCTCCTTTGTCATCATCCTTTTGGACCTGTCTGCTGCATTCGACACAGTGAATCATCAGATCCTCCTTCGCACTCTCCAAGAACTTGGAGTTTCAGGCTCTGCACTTTCCCTCATCACCTCATACCTCAAAGACCGCACCTACAGGGTTACTTGGAGAGGGTCGGAGTCCGACCCTTGTCAATTAACTACAGGGGTCCCTCAGGGCTCTGTTCTTGGTCCCCTCCTCTTCTCCTTGTACACAAACTCGCTCGGATCAGTCATTAGCCCGCATGGTTTTTCATACCACTGCTACGCTGACGACACCCAATTAATTCTGTCCTTTCCCCGCTCAGAGACCCAGGTCGTCGCACGCATCTCTGCTTGTCTAGCTGACATCTCTCAGTGGATGTCTGCTCATCACGTCAAGCTCAACCTTGACAAGACTGAACTGCTTGTCCCACTCTTGACCTAACAATCAACATCGGCACCTCAGTTGTTTCCCCGACTCAGACTGCAAGGAATCTGGGTGTGATCCCTAGATAACAACCTGTCCTTCACTGCAAACATAGCTGCTACAACCCGCTGCTGCAGATATATGCTTTACAACATCAGGAAGATACGTCCCCAGCTGACACAGAAAGCCACTCAGGTTCTGGTCCAGGCTCTCGTCATCTCACGCCTAGACTACTGCAACTCCCTCCTGGCTGGTCTACCTGCATGTGCCATCCGACCTCTGCAGCTCATCCAGAATGCAGAGGCTCGTCTGGTCTTCAACCTTCCTAAATTCTCCCACACCACGCCGCTCCTCCGCTCCCTCCACTGGCTTCCAGTAACTGCTAGAATCCACTTCAAGACACTGGTACTTGCGTACCATGCTGCGAATGGATCTGGCCCTTCCTACATTCAGGACATGGTTAAACCGTACACCCCAGCACGTGCACTACGCTCTGCATCAACCAAACGGCTCGCTGCACCCTCGCTGCGAAGGGGACCCAAGTTCCCATCAGCAAAAACACGTGGGTTTGCTGTCCTGGCTCCAAGATGGTGGAATGAGCTCCCCATTGACATCAGGACAGCAGATAGCTTACACACCTTCCGGCGCAGACTGAAAACTCATCTATTTCGACTCCACTTCGAGCGATAGAACTATTAACAAAGCACTTATATACTAATAAAGGGCTGGCTTATCTATAGCCAGTTGAGTAGCACTTGAAATGTTTTTGCTCTATGAAACCTGATGTACTTATATGATTCTGTTTTCTTCAAGTTTGTATTTTGTTGGTCGAACGCACTTATTGTAAGTCGCTTTGGATAAAAGCGTCAGCTAAATGCAATGTAATGTAATGTTATTTAGAAAAGAATAACAAATTAGAAGGAAAAAAATATTTGAAAAATACTGATGTCAGTATTCTGAGGCTCTGAGCCATTTCTTTTCCTCACAGATGGCAAAAAAAGTCCGACATTATGTGATTTAAAATAAAAACAATAATCGTGGCTTGATATTGAGTAAGAACATGTTTTTATGAACCACACAGCTTCCGGTCTTCCAAGACCCGAACGGACAAAAATACGTGCTGCAGGCACGAAACACACTACCAATAGAAATACATTGCTTTTAAAATCGTTCTGTGTGACACGAGAAAAAGGGGAAAATCGTGTTGGTAAACACAAATCAATAGATTAAATGTCGTGACTATAACACGAAATGCCTGGAGACTGGGTTGTATAGTCAGATATCCTTTCACTTGGCTGAGCAGCTCTTTTTGGGAAGTATCTTGGGTGGTGTCCATGTCAACAGACATAACAGAACCTTTCAGTTGTAAAAGGAGTTTTACTATACTGAGTAAGTGCCAAATAGTGGGCGACTACAGGACCTCTCTATGTCCTCTAAAGGTCAAGATGCAGGTGGCTGGAGGAAATGTCACGTTGGAATTGGAAGCGTTCTTTGTATCCCTCTGCATGTTTGCATGAATTCTCCCGTTTCTTTTCAGCTGTTCACTTATAACACTGTCCCCGCTGACCTTACACATGTAGTCAGTATAGTAGTCAATCCTGCCCCGCTTGAACATTTTTGTTCCACTTTAGTTTGGGCTTGTTGCTGCTTACTTATTGTACCTTTGGTTAACACATTGTGGGCAGAATGATGGTGCTTCTTTATGTGACTACTGTCAAAGTTTTCTAGTCAAAGTAGAGGAATAGTTAATTCGTCTTAAAGATATTTTTTGGGCCACCATATATATAGTTTATAGATGAGGTGAGTAAAAGCTGATTTTACACGGTGACTGCGCCCCAATATATATGCTGCCAGCCTCTACCAAGTGTGCTTTTCAGTAGTCCAGGAGTACTCATTTTATTGACGCCTGATTGACAGCAGTTAAGTGCTGTGTCAGCAGTGAGGAGATGTATATGTGGAATGAGCCATGGACTTTGAGATGGGATTCAATCTTTTAATATGGACTGTGTTGCTGTGTGTGTGTGTCTGTGTAGGCCGTGTGTATTTAGCAGTGTGTGTGTCAGCTGCGTTGTGTGTCTCTAACTCTCACTGTCTCCCCTACAGTTCGTCCTCAGGCCTCCGTCTCCATCGACATGTTGTCCAACAGCAGCATCCTGGAGCTGGGGGACGAAGCACAGGGCTGGAGGTCCGGGGACCGGGTGGTGGTCGCCAGCACAGACTACTCCATGCACCAGGCGGAGGAGTTCAGCCTGATGCCCTGCTCAACCTGCACATCCAGCCAGGTCAAGGTCCAAGGTAAGAGAACCAGCAATGTGTGAGAATACAGGGCTGATCCTGGATCTGCCATCAGAGCTGTATGCCAACTAGACCTGTCAGGAAAAGGCTATATGTTTGTTTCATTCATACACAAGCAGATATAACAACAAGAGGGTTTCATGTTAATTAGTTAGTTGGGTCACATGGATATCGGCGGCACTCTTAGTGAATATAATCAGGTGTTTACCTGTGTGAGGTTTGTGTGGAAGAGAGCAGAGAGTATTGCTGTATATGATATACGTATATACAGTGTGGCAAAAAAGTATTTAGTCAGCCACCAATTGCGCAAGTTCTCCCACTTAAAAAGATGAGAGAGGCCTGTAATTTTCATCCTAGGTATACCTCAACTATGAGAGACAAAATGAGAAAAAAAAAATCCAGAAAATCACATTGTCTGATTTTTAAAGAATTTATTTGCAAACTATGGTGGAAAATAAGTATTTGGTCAATAACAAAAGTTCATCTCAATACTTTGTTATATACCCTTTGTTGGCAATGACAGAGGTCAAACGTTTTCTGTAACGGCCCGTACACACAGCAGCTTTTGGCGATTTGTCCACCGCTTCCAGCGCGTCTCCGCCCATTGACTTTGAATGGGGATGACGTCACTTTCCCTCGCTTGTCGCCGAACTGCATTGTGGGGGTGCGAGGCGAAGATTTCCAGGATTTCCAGGATGTTCAGGATTCCAAAGTTGAACAATGTTCAACTTTTGAGGCTGAGCTGGAAGCGACAGCCAATCAGATCCGTTTATGCAAATCTGACAGTTCAAGCGCTAGCCAATCAAACCGTGTGCAAGCTGGGAGAGCCAGACCGCAGTTCATTCTATATTCCTAACAAAAATGGAGGAGAAGTTAGTTATTGCGGTAGCAAATCACCCGGTTCTTTATGACCAGTCCCTATTTACTTACCGGGATACAAACCGGAGGAACCAGGCATGGAGGGAGGAGGCAGAGGCAGTGGGTGAAACTGGTAGGTTTTCGCTTGTTTGGGGATTTTATATCCAGTTTACTTCGTTGCTAGTTTACTTCGTTGCTAGCAAGCATAGACAGTATCATTAGCCAGCATGGAATGTAGCATAAAATAGCACCATAGACATTAATCTCATAAATGTTATAGTGGAGAAGAACCGGGGTTTTTTGCTTTGTATGTCGGGGGCGGGAGATTCATGTGATTGGTTGTTGGTCGCGAAATCCCCAAGCTTTCAGACACGCCCAGCTCCAAGATTTTCAAGATTTTTGAAAAGCTGCTGTGTGGACGTACCGTAAGTCTTCACAAGGTTTTCACACACTGTTGCTGGTATTTTGGCTCATTCCTCCATGCAGATCTCCTCTAGAGCAGTGATGTTTTGGGGCTGTCGCTGGGCAACACAGACTTTCAACTCCCTCCAAAGATTTAATATGGGGTTGAGATCTGGAGACTGGCTAGGCCACTCCAGGACCTTGAAATGCTTCTTACGAAGCCACTCCTTCGTTGCCCGGGCGGTGTGTTTGGGATCAATGTCATGCTGAAAGACCCAGCCATGTTTCATCTTCAATGCCCTTGCTGATGGAAGGAGGTTGTCACTCAAAATATCACGATACATGGCCCCATTCATTCTTTCCTTTACACGGATCAGTCGTCCTGGTCCCTTTGCAGAAAAACAGCCCCAAAGCATGATGTTTCCACCCCCATGTTTCACAGTAGGTATGGTGTTCTTTGGATGCTGCCATTAGATCTCTTGCATCATTGGGTTTATTTAAACATGCATTATCATCTCGCTTTCAACTGGTCTGTACTTGTTATTAATGAAACTGATATTGATGAAACTGATTTGCTTGACCGTCTCAAATTGTAATGATTGTATGCATTGCTTGAATTTTACTTAACAGACTGTATGTGGTTTGTCTTGTGTGTCATGTTTTGCATTTTGTCTTTTTGTTTATGTATGTCTGTAAGTTGTTGCTATTGTCGGGACCCCCTTGAAAACGAGATGGTGCATCTCAAGGGATTATCCCAATCAATAAAAATGTCTATATATGCAACTCAGCATTCTTTCTCCTCCAAACACGTCTAGTTGAGTTTTTACCAAAAAGTTCTATTTTGGTTTCATCTGACCATATGACATTCTCCCAATCCTCTTCTGGATCATCTTAATGCTCTCTAGCTAACTTCAGACAGGCCTGGACATGTAGTGGCTTAAGCAGGGGGACACGTCTGGCACTGCAGGATTTGAGTCCCTGGCGGCGTAGTGTGTTACTGATGGTAGCCTTTGTTACTTTGGTCCCAGCTCTCTGCAGGTCATTGACTAGGTCCCCCCGTGTGGTTCTGGGATTTTTGCTAACCGTCTCTTCTTGTGATCATTTTGACCCCACGGGGTGAGATCTTGCGTGGAGCCCCAGATCGAGGGAGATTATCAGTGGTCTTGTAAGTCTTCCATTTTCTAATAATTGCTCCCACAGTTGATTTCTTCACACCAAGCTGCTTACCTATTGCAGATTCAGTCTTCCCAGCCTGGTGCAGGTCTACAATTTTGTTTCTGGTGTCCTTTGACAGCTCTTTGGTCTTGGCCATAGTGGAGTTTGGAGTGTGACTGTTTGAGGTTGTGGACAGGTGTCTTTTATACTGATAACGAGTTCAAACAGGTGCCATTAATACAGTTAACGAGTGGAGGACAGAGGAGGCTCTTAAAGAAGAACTGGGGTTACGTAATGTAACCCAGCTTCTATGAGTATAGGCGCAGCCCTCTAAGGCTATCGCTATTGGGTAATCCCCACTGCACGTGTGCAGCACTGACAGACTTATTCCACGCCCACCTATGACGTGGGCCCCACCTCCAGGCTCACTTCCGTATAAATAGGAAGTAGGCCTTACAATCCACTCCAACAGCTTTTCTTCAGCTATTGACAGTTCCTGCTGTGGGACAGTTTCTTTCGTTCTTCATTGATGCCTGAATTAACAAGCAGCACGGGGTGAAAACCACCAATGAGCGCTCAGCTCGAGATACCAAGCGAGTCGTTTCCCATCAAGCATTTCGCTTCCGCAGCCCGTGGAGAGGAACTGCGCCGCCTCGCCGCGCCTCGCTCTCAAGGCTGCGGGCGTCTTTGACCCGCGAGATTTCAACGTCTCATGTAGGCGAGCCTCCAGAGCAAGTCGGACAAAATGACTAACCATCATGCAACGCACGAGCAAGACGTTGATCGCAACTGCGCAGGTCTCGCTCGTCTCAAACAAGCCTATTGGCTCGGCAAAAGTTTGTTGTTTTGTGTCAGTTTTACGTAAGAAGAAGAAGAAGAAGAAGAAGAAGAAGAAGAAGAAGAAGAAGAAGAAGAAGAAGAAGAAGAAGAAGAAGAAGAAGAAGAAGAAGAAGAAGAAGAAGAAGAAGAAGAAGAAGTAAGAGAAGGAAGAAGAAGAAGAAGAAGAAGAAGAAGAAGAAGAAGAAGAAGAAGAAGAAGAAGAAAGAGAAAGAGAAGAAGAAGAAGAAATTACAATAATACATGACATATATTTTTTAAATGTCTCCAGTACCGATAAAAAGACCGATAACGTTGGAGCTTAACGGCGCGTAAAACACACGTGATGACGTCACCAACAAATCGACGACTGAATTAGTTGGCAACTCATTTGGTCATCGATTAAGTCGATTAGTTGTTGCACCCCTATTTTAAATATGTGGCTATGACATCAGACTGACCTGATAAGTTCATGCTGCTTTCATACTCTAATCAGTTCTCAGCTACATCGAGCCGGTTGCAGATCAAATAGATAAAAAGAGTGGCAACCTGACCTGATTGATATAATATCATATGTGGTTTTTTTTGTCATTGATAATCAAACTTTGAAGATTATTTTGATCCTGTTTGATCAGAATCAGAGTAACATACATTGTTTGAGCAAAGAGACAGTTAAAGACATAAGTAAAATAAATAAATGAAACAGTATTAGGTAAATGTTATGTTATACATTTAAGTAACAGCATTGTAAAAATGAGGTTGAACAAATATAAAGTAATAAAGTAGCAGCCAGGTAATGGCAATAGAAAGGTATACATGTGTATTGCATGGTGTTATTTGACAGCACTGTTGTTACAGTAATGGGTAGTGCAACAGTCAGTATTTGAAGAAGTTGAATTATCAAAATATATAGATGCAGCGTGTTCACAGGAACAGCAGCTCACACACAAACACTGCCAAGGCTGCTGCTGTGTTTGAACCTCTCATTGTCCGACAGCACTTTTATTTCCTTCTGGGCCACATTTCAGTCCCCTGTCTTTCCAAGGTAAACACATTTATTAATTTAAAATTAAAATAAAAACCGGCTGTGGAAAAAAACCAATTTGTACATGTTTGATTGCAAGGTAGGTCTCTACAGTGAGCTGTTAGGACATCTCAGGTCACTGGTGAGGTTTTCTTACAAAACCCTTGAGAAGTTCAGGCAACAATATTCGCAAACACACATTTTGACTTAATTTTAAGGAGAGTAAATTGAAATGTCAAGCAACGTCAACTTTATGGCACAAAAAACACTTGTGCGCCACAAGGTTGAAGAAAACAAGAAACAAGCTCGACTAATGAAAAAACACCATGTACATAAACAAGCAGCACATCACTCACAAACTGTGTCTTGAATTCATTTCTGAAAATGGCAAAGCATTCTGGTAACCTTTTACCCAGAGCTGGTTTCAAAATAATAAAAGCTTAATCTCACTTAGTGTGTGCCTGGGTTTACTGTCATCAGAGCAAGTAGAGCACTGACACAGAGACAGAGTTAAGGCTCCATCAAAAGAACCGGGGCTACAGTATCTCATGAAGTGATTCTCTTTACATCATGCAAGGAATCTGGGTGTGACCCTAGATAACGAACTGTCCTTCACTGCAAACATCGCTGCTACAACCCGTTGCTGCAGATACACGCTTTACAACATCAGGAAGATACGTCCCCAGCTGACCCAGAAAGCAACGCAGGTTCTGGTCCAGGCTCTCGTCATCTCACGCCTAGACTA